CAATCTCATATCGCACAATCTTATTAACTGTTTATCTCCTGAACTGCATCTTTCTTTACCACGCTATTCAGCGCCAATCCCGCCGTGCAGTCAATTTCACTGGTTAAGGTTAGGGTCAGGTGTGGGGTAGGTTTAGGGGTTAGCATTTTTTGTAGCATAATGTAGGAAATCAACACTTTAATTGACACAACCAATAAAATCTTTAGAATCAGCTGTGGGGCGGAGTTTGCACTGAAGTGGATTGGGGGAAAAAATTGCGCATGCGTGTCATGTGCCTGTCTGTCAATGGGAGGAAGCCACGCCCTATTTTGGAGCTCCCACCCCGTTTTGGAGTTCCCGCCCCCGTTTGGAGATCTCCAGGCTGCAGTTATACCCTTCTCTATATAGTAGGGGAATTTACCGTTAACCATTTAACAGGTTTTTACTGTAGCATTTTTACAATCTTTTACTGTTAAATTCACGGTAATTTTTTACAGTGTACTAAATGAAGTTAAAGCAGTCTGTGTTTTTCAGAGTGTTTTATGTTTCACTTCTGTTGGCACATGAAAGTGAATGTTGAAGAAAACTCACACTGAACTCGTGAACTATCATTGTTATTCATCTTTTATAAGATTTAAAGTCTTAAAATCATTCAACATTTATATAAAAGAAAACGTCTGCAATACCGATTTAAATAGTTCAACTTTTAAAATAAAATTCATGACACCTTGTGTTTTTTTTTTTTCATTCTGCTGACCTGTCTCACATATTTAAATGCAAAAATGTGTTTATTTGTGAATGGCCCCATAGTCTGTGACAAAAAATGTTTCAGTTTGTTCTCTAGATGTGGCACGTGAAATGAAGTCAGTATCAGTGATGGAGGGAGATTCGTTTACTCTACACTCTGATGTTACTGAAACACAGAAATATTTGTTGGTACAGTGGATGTTTGAACACACTCGAATAGCTGAAGCCAACATGCAGACTAGCTCTACATATGATGAGAGATTCCGGGACAGATTAAACCTGGATCAGACCAGATCTCTGACCATCACAAACACCAGAACCACAGACTCTGGACTTTATCAACTAACAACTGTCAGCAGAGAAACCAGCTACATGAATTATAATGTTACTGTCTATGGTGAGTAGAAAATTACAGCATAATTTGCCCTTCGTCTGAATTATATTTTTGTCATTGTACTATTTTAAAATGGTTCTTTTCAATATTCCTTAAATCCATATTTTATTATATTGATGGGTTTAATTCCATTTAAAATGACATCACTGCAAAATTTGTCATCCACAAATCTCCACAAAATTCTTTATCATCAGAAAGATCGTCAAGCTCAAATTGTGTGTGGTCCAGCTGTGCGATGAACAATTCAACTGTAAACCAGACTAAGGATGCCAACATTACTGAACTCCATCAGTCGAGTTCAGGTATGTCACAGAACTCTGTTGAATGTGTTCAGGTATGTCAATATAATAGGCTATTAGCTTTGTGAAAGTACAGAAGCTAAAATCCACTGTTAAGGTAACTGCCACTTTCAGAAAAAAAAATTTCCAGCTGATGAATGATGAAAACACTGACAGCCAATCAGAATCCACCCGACTGTAAAGAGCTCAAGCATTAAAAAGCGACAGACGACAAAACTGGAGCATGTGCTTAGAATAAACATAGCATTGTCACCCGTTGGTATGGACAAACATATAGTTATCGTTATTACCGTTCTTGGTGTGAACGGGTCTTTAGTTTAGGGAGAAACTGAATCAGTTTTGGGCCAAACATGGTGTTGATTCATGTTACTGCTTTTGGGTGCGGAGAGAATTGACAGCATAATCCAGGTAAATCCAGTAAAAAATTTATTTTTTCAATCAAAACTTACATTTCATTTAGAGATATAGAGCATGACCTGTTTGTGCATATGAGGGTTGGGTGCATTTGCGTGCATTTTCTTCTATCATTTAACAGGAACAGAGAACAGACAGCAGACGAGTGACAGAGAAGTGTAGTGTGTTTGTTTGTTTTTTGGTGGGGCTGGTGGGGTGGTATTCCATGCTGCTCTAGAGATCATTAGCACTCAAGGCAAAAAAAAAAAAACATGGAGAAAGAACCACATAATCACACAGATTCCTCGGGGAGTCCTAAAAACGGTCTAGAATCGCTTATGTTATGCAATCCTAGCTAATGTTATTTAGCTAAGCAAGGAAAGTGTGCATATGTGCACATATGTGACCCTGGACAACAAAACCAGTCATAAGGGTCAATTTTCCGAAACTGAGATTTATACATCATCTGAAAGCTGAATAAATAAGCTTTCCATTGGTATATGGTTTGTTAGGATAGGACAATATTTGGCCGAGATACAATTATTTTAATATCTGGAATCTGAGGGTGCTAAAAAATCTAAATATTTAGAAAATCGCCTTTAAAGTTGTCCAAATGAAGTTCTTAGCAATGCATATTACTAATCAAAAATTAAGTTTTGATATATTTACAGTAGGACATTTACAAGACATTTATCTTCATGGAACATGATCTTTACTTAATATCCTAATGATTTTTGGCATAAATAATCGACCATTTTGACCCATACAATGTATTTTTGACTATTGCTACAAATATACCCCAGCGGCTTAAGACTGGTTTTGTGGTCCAGGGTCACATATGCAAAGTTTGTGGATGCTCAAAGTCCTTTGAAGTGGATGCAGTAAGTCTATTTGAAAGAGAAATAAATGCACACTTCTGATTCAGTGCTTTTTTTTTTTTTCATTTCAGACTGCATCCACTGTTGTGGATTTACTGAAACTGTAATCCGATTGGCTCTCTCTGCTCTGGTGGGCGTGGCTGCTGTTGCTGTACAAGAAGTGAGCTGAACAGGACAGAAGAGACTCAATATCTTTCTCAGACCCATGGAGCAAAATCAGACCAACAGTGTGAACTGAGCAGAAGGTTTAGTTCAAGATATGTTTGCTGAAGGTTACTGGTATAATCCAAAAAATGAATCATGCATCACTAATTTTCTATGCCTTCACAGCTATTTTTAACAGATTATGTTTAAGTCATTGGCCATTTATTGATTGTATCTGCACAAAATATGATTTTGATTCATTTATAAAATTATCTAATAAGCTCTCGTTTCTGTTGCACCCTTGAAATGACTCTCACAGTGGAAATTAGTGTACATTTTAATGAAGATTCGGTTTTTCAAGTTTTTTTCTGTTCTACTGTCCACTCTTATAACATCATTAAACATATAATTCATTATGTAGTAGTTGTATAAGTGATTCACTGAATTCACGTAGCCTAATACACTAGCAGAAGTGAAACCTGATGACATTTATCTGTATAGCAATATGGTTTAGTCTGAAGGGTTGACAAATTGTTTGTGAAGGAGTTCAACCAGAATTAAGGACACTTAAGTGCCACTTCAAATCCTCCTAGAAGTCCAAAGCAGTTTAATTTATTTTAAAGGAAACAGATCTGATTAATAGGAATGGAGAAAACTCTTATGCAGAATTCTGAACCGTATACTAGAGTAACCTACCTATTATCTCTGCCTACTTACAGCCACTAGGCGGAGCTCCAGCAATGTCATTTGTTATAGCAGACAGCAGAACTGCAGCATACTCAATGGCAGTGTGCTAGGAGATTGGGGTTAATGTTTCCGTGAATTGGACATTTAACAAAAATATTAAAAAAAAAAAAAAAATCTAATTGTTTTTCTTGATTATAATGGTAATTGCATTGATTTTATGGGTCTCTACTGGTAATTTGTTGCCTTCTATTGGCATGTTAAGACCACTAAATCCTAATGAAATATGGTAGGCTACACTACTGGACAGGTTTGCCAGTTTTCACTTTTTCTATGCGGTTTGGCCGTTCGTCAGATGAGGTCAGTGTGTTCAGTGTTCAGATAGATTCTTTTCTTTTACTATTTACAGCCACTAGGTGGAGCTCCAGTAATGTCATTGAATAATGAGAGCCATCAGAACTGCTCGTCTCTGTTACAACTACAAAGCACTAACAGCACAATACTGAATAGCAGACAACATCCTCACATTACTGGAAGCATGGTCCACTAATAAAGAGAAAACTCAATAAAGAAGGATGTGTTATGCATCCTAACTGTGCAGTTATGGCTATAGCTAACCAGGCAAACACAGATTTCTTGCTGGAAACATGCTGGTGGGACAAGCTGTAAACCCATGACCCTTGGCCCCAACATGCAACTCTAAAACATCATGTTATACAGTTCTGACGGGTGCTTTTCTAGCATGCAATATTTTTGCGGTCTATAGAGAACACTATAAATGTAAAATCTATAAATCTGCTATAAGTCAATTTAATAGTACGTTATAAAGTATTTAATGGTTCATTATAAATTATTAGGCAATATGAGCTAAGAGGCACAGAATTCCTTTGTGTAGTTTGGTTGTTTCTTTGTGTTTTATTATTTATACATTGTATAAAATGAATATGTATCCACTAAATCAAAGATATTGTGGTATAAACAACATGTAGAAAGCTATTTTTTTTTGTGATGTGACAAGAAAACCATAACAGGAAATGACTTCACAGATAGGACCCCGTAGGCCTTCATCATGACTATGTGTAAAGGTCAATAAGTCTCAAATAAAATAATTTAAATAAATAATTCAACATTCCTACAACATGGCAAGAATAGTTTAGATTCACATGCCAAATGGTACAACACCAAGACACTTGAAATTCATGTTTTTTTGTTGTTGTTTTTTTTCAAAACTATTTTTGAAATCACACCTAGACCCCCACTCTTCCTGCTTTTTTTTTTCTTTTCTTTTTTTTTCTTTTTGTATATCAACATATCTTGTTATTGTCTGCCAGTGTCTGGGACAAATTCACAAATTTCTTTAGCTTTTACTGAAATATGTTAAACACATTTCTGTCCCCCTCACTTCTGAAATGATGGCTACGCCCCGGTGCATAACTGAAAGACACAAAGGCGTTCGCTGACAATCAAGCGCGTTCACAGACGCGCGTGCACACTCTGGCGGCGCGCGGAGAAGTTCAGATCATCTGACTGAAAGTTACGTCGTGTGTTATTTCTTTACAGACCACGAAGCTACAAATTCCCGTTCGTTTTTAAAATAGGCTATAATTGGTTAAATATCTTCATAACCGCACGGGAACGCTCCTCAGCAAAGTTTTAGGAAATTCGTTTTTACTTAAGGGATTTGTTTTTTCCTCCCAGAAACGTTAAGTGATGTCTCAGTCAAAGAAAATATTTTATGCATTTGTTTGGTTCTGCTTGCATTTTGAAGGCCGGATTGGTAAGTTATGCATGTTTTATGGCATCAGCTCTTTATATTAGAGATAAACCAGTCCGATATAAAATCAAGAATTACTCCCTTTTGCCTTTTGGGGGGTCATTAGTTCGTTGATCAGCTACCATTTTACAAAAGCATCTTAGCTGTTTTGTTTCTGGTCCACGATGATCTACCTTGTACCAGGTAATAAACATTTTGGACCAAATAATATGTGATTGAGTGGCAGTTCCTGTTCCATTGTTCTCCAGGTGTGTTTGGTGTTGAGCCCGGTCAAATTAAAACAGCAACAGAGGGAGATTCTGTCACTCTACAAACTGAGATACGGAGAGGTGAAGATCTGCTTTGGATGTTTGGACCCCGAGAGGTTCTCATTGCTCAAGTCAGAAAGGAGGCTGGAGTCTTCAACGTTTATGATGGCGCTGATGGGAGATTCAGAGACAGACTGGTGCTGAACTATGACACTGGATCGCTGACCGTTAAAAACATCAGACCTGAACATGCTGGACTCTATAAACTAGAGATCATAAGTAATACAGTCTCACACAAAACATTCACAGTTTCTGTCTATGGTGAGTAGAGAAGCAGTGTTGTTTGTTCTTTATATTGTGTTTACTAAATAATTCTCAATACTCTAATATAAAACTTTTTTTTTTCAGTAAACTTATTCTAATTGGTCATTTCATATCATTTTCCAGCTCGTCTTCCCATTCCTGTCATCACCAGAGACTCTTCACAATGTTCTTCTTCATCATCGTCATCATCATATTGTTCACTGCTGTGTTCAGTGGTGAATGTGAGTCATGTGACTCTCTCCTGGTACAAAGGAAACAGTTTATTGTCCAGCATCAGTGTGTCTGATCTCAGCATCAGTCTCTCTCTACCTCTGGAGGTGGAATATCAGGATAAAAACAACTATAGTTGTGTGTTGAACAACCCCATCAGCAACCAGACCACACATCTGGACATTAGTGAACTTTGTTGGCCATGTCCAGGTACGTCAATGTTGATATTAGAGATTATTAAGTATGCAATGTAGACATTTTTCAAATTATTTTGAATTTTTCCATATTTTATATCTAATTCTAGCGTATACGATTTGTTAGCATTGCGTGATTTGAGTAGGTGAGATGCAATCAATGGTAAACTGCACACTGTGGCGGTCACACTTATCAGTTTGAATCTCCACATCACAAATTTAGACCACGTAAAAAAGACAGTCTGTGAACATCTAAATATATTCATTGTAAACTATATTGTTCATATAGTTTCTCTGTGTTCTCTTATGTTCTCCAGCTCCTCTGCCGATTCCTGTCATCACCAGAGACTCTCCAACATGTTCTTCATCAGCTTCACACCAGAATTGTTCATTTTTATGTTCAGTGGTGAATGTGAGTCGTGTGACTCTCTCCTGGTATAAAGGAAACAGTTTATTGTCCAACATCAGTGTGTCTGATCTCAGCATCAGTCTCTCTCTACCTCTGGAGGTGGAATATCAGGAGAAAAACACCTACAGCTGTGTGCTCAACAATCCCATCAGCAACCAGACCACACATCTCAACATCGATCAGCTCTGTCAGCCATGTCCAGGTACATAAACTGTGATGTTAGAAATGTACACGAACTTGAATTTTTTTAGTGGTGTTTTTGTCTTTCCTCAGGCCGCGTCCACTGTTGTGGTTTTACTGAAACTGTGGTCCGATTGGCTGGCTCTGTTCTGGTGGGCCTGGCTACTGTTGCTGTGCTGGTTTATGACATTAGATCAAGAAGATCTTATCAGAAGAGGAGAGAGCAGACACCGCATGCAGATGAATATGATGATGTTGCAGCAGGTCACTAGGGGGCAATAATGTTGCTCTGTTCTTTACTCTTTTTAGGAATATAAATAAGGAATATTCCAGGTTAAATGCATCTCAGAATCAGTTGACAGCTTGCATGCTGTCAATCATACATACAGAATAATAAAATCCACAGTAATCAAAACATGAAAACCAATGCTGTAAAGTGTTTCCTAACTTGTCATATTGCCATCTGGTGGTTATATTAGGTACTTTTTGTTTTAATGTACATATGCCTGTTTTTTTCTTCACTTTTTAATGTAAAACTTTTATACTTTTATACCAAGAAGAAATTATTTTTATTGGTTCATAATAATATTTTTATATATTTTTTTTAAATGTTGTCATAAGAAATACTTTATATTGTATGAAAAACATGTTTGACTGACATATTGACTGACAGCACTTTGGTCAGCCGTGCTTGCTGTTTTTAAAAGTGCTATATAAATAAAATGAACTTGAAACTTGATATTAACTTGTCATATTGCCATCTGGTGGTTATATTAGGTACTTTTTGTTTTAATGTACATATGCCTGTTTTTTTCTTCACTTTTTAATGTAAAGCTTTTATACTTTTATACCAAGAAGAAATTATTTTTATTGGTTCATAATATTTTTTTATATATTTTTTAAATGTTGTCATGAGAAATACTTTATTGTATGAAAAACATGTTTGACTGACATATTGACTGACAGCACTTTGGTCAGCCGTGCTTGCTGTTTTTAAAAGTGCTATATAAATAAAATGAACTTGAAACTTGATATTGATTTTTTTTTTTTCAATTTAACTGTAATATCCAGCAAATTCATTAAAGATAAAAAATGTCTTGAGAATGTATGATTAATTTATTTACCCGTTATATTTCAGTCTTGCTCGACCTAAATTGCAAACTCAAGTTTTTAGATAGGTATGCTTAAATCAAATTTTCCCCCAGCAGTTCCAATACTTGCACCCCAAAAAAAACTGTAATCAAAAGTTTTTGATAATTCACTTACAAAATTATTTTGTAAAAGTTCAATTTCTTCCATGCAACTATTTCAGTTACATCAGAAAATGTTTTATATGAACAGATGTTGTCAGATGTTACAAGACAGAAACATACTATAGATTAAAAAGACTTCAAACAGGAAAAGTGCAGGATTTATACAATTAATTTTATTTTCCTTTAACACCACAATAGAAAGCACTACTACATCAGTGACCAAATATAAACTCAAAATAAAAGAATCAAAAGAATCTTTCAATACATGGCCACAAATAACATTAGCACAGACAAAACGCATAAGCATTTAGTTTGGATGTACAAATATTCTGTTCCACATTTGAGTGAAATTCCTAACTAACATATTTTAAAGTCTCTGGAATATGATTTTCCTTTACTTACTCTATATGATTTAAACTGAAAGCATTTGTGTGTAAAATGTCAATGAAGGTCACTGCAATTTTGGTTAAATTTTTAACAGGAGTATTCACTTGCAAAACACATCATTCAAAATAAGTGCTTCCCTCACATGATCTATTTATATTAGGCAATTACAAGCAGATTTGTTGTGTTTTCATAGTGTTTCTTATAGACCAAGTTGAGACATTCACATACACTAATGAATGCCTTTGTTTCTCCGTGTCCAGTCTCCACTCATCTCATGTCAACTGCTGCTGGAACTTTGATGATCATGGCTACAGGAGAGACAGAAAAAGCAGTTAGGATCTCCCGGCAACTAATACATTTGTAGAGTTAACAGGTGAATTTAATTTATTTCAGTTACATCAGAAAATGTTTTATATGAACAGATGGCAGTTATAAAAAATAAAAAACTGAATTATGTGTCATCTGTTACAAGACAGAAACATACTATAGATTAAAAAGACTTCAAACAGGAAAAGTGCAGGATTTATACAAAGTTTAAATGTTTTACTTGTAATATAAATGTAATTTGGTAGCCATAGTAGAGAAGATGATAACCGATTGACTGAAATGATCAAAACTCTGGTTGCAGAATTTAGAACAGGCTGCATTTCTTTTTATTGAGAAAGTGGGACAACCAGACAAGTTTATTACAATAATCTATTCTTTATGTTATGAATACATACACTGTCTTTTCTATTCATTAACAGAGAGAGAACAGTTCATAGAATAGCAATATATCTGTATGAAAGCACTTATATGGACGTTAGGTCCAGTCAGACCAAACACTGCTTAGTTAACATTTACTTTTATTTACTAGGTGGAAATTAATCCATATTTAGTCAAAATGTAATAATGTAATGCAATAAACCAGTTTTGAAGGTGTAAGTATAAAGCTGAATTTCACCCATGTAATAATATCCCAAAAATATCAGTTGAAGGACACATGTAAATGGAGAACTACAAAGGACCTAAGACTGAGCCCTGTGGCACACCACACTTTACCTGTGTCACTTTTGGCATCTCCTCATTTACAAAAAATAACATGGTAGTTATCTGACAGATTAATATTTTAAGCAGGCAACCACCTGTCCACAAATGCCAATATGATTCTTAAGTATGCTCAGAAATGTCTTGATCTATAGGGTCAAAACAGTGCTAAATAATAATAGAAGATACTATCCTAGTCAAGTGCTAAAAAAGTATTTGGTTTGAGGAGTATGCGCACAACTGGAGTAGTAATAGCAATACTCTTTTTTTATTCTAAATGGCATAGATTTCTTATGAGTTTACAATTAAAACTTGAGGCTTTCTCACATTATTTCGCACAGTCAACTGAGAATTAAGTTCTCTCATGTCCAGACAGAACAGGTGTAGAAGTATATTGGGGGGCGATTTGGTATGTTTTGCGTGTATGTTTTTTGTACGGTAGGTGGCGTTATGAGTCTGTGTCGTCCCGCGTCACGTTACCTGCCAGACGGAAGAATCAGCCATTTCGAGCTGTGCGCTCTCTTGTATTTGTAACATTAAGGGAACGTAAACCATTTTCCACGTCGTTCAAATCTTAAAGAATACTAGACTTTAATCTTAGTAAATTCAAAATTGTCTCAGTCATTATTTAGCCGTTTGTTAGTAATTATCGCTATCAATCTGGCTGGGTGCGGCTGAGAAACGACAACACGACAGGTTTATATGGATATTTGTAGCTACGATCTTCATCTTTTTTAAGCTCCAGAAATTTCACAACTCTACAATCAGTATGGGCATCGCGAATTTGATGTTGCTTGTCTTATTATTCGTGAACGGTAAGTAGTAATTAAATTTTTGTAGCTATAACACTTTCGGTTTTAATTAATAGAACCGGAAATAATGCGTATTTGCTTTTATACGCGTATTTTCATACTGCTTGTGGTTTTTAACATGCTCATAGCGATTGTTTTTTATTTGGATATAAGGCAGAGAATAAAAATGGGGTATGTTCTGAATTCTGCGCTATTTACCTTTATAAATCCTCGGACGCCACTGGGTTTCAAGTTCAGGCCTTGCAGCGATAATACCAGCCTTTTGGAGATTGATGTCCAATTCACGTCGGGGCTTTGAGAACTGTGTGTGGTATATGCTACTTGGGTCAATTGAATTATCGTCTCTCCGGTGTCCATTAGTGCAATCTGTGCGATTTTTGTTTAATAATCAGGATTCCGAGATGCCAATAGGCCTTATGCTTATTCGTCACAAATCTTTATTCGAGTTTCGTCTGTATTGCAAATATTTAAAGATTTGGGGTCTAATTAATTTTGTTGATGCAATCTTTTTTTTTTGTACGACTGTCATGGCTGTTTTAAAAGATCAGTTGTTTTTGCTTTATGTCATGTTGTAGCCAATGATGTAGCCTACCATTCCTGCCTGCTTTGTTTTCTCAAATGTGTCTTAATCATAATCATAGATTGTAAACGGATTATAAACGCGATGATTGGACTACGTATGATGGTAGTGCGTTATTTATGTTGCGTGTCGGCTATATTAGTTCATCGTACAGTACAGTTCGTCGTGATTAGCTGCACAAACCGGTTTTTCATGAATTTTTGTTATGTCGTACTATGGGACAGCTAGATTTAAAGCTGAAGCATCTGTATGAAAATAATATATAGCAAACGTTAACCTTGTTCATTCTAATTCTATATGATGTATGGCGGACTAATACTAAGCAAAATGTAAATAAACTTTCATTCAATAACTAAAAAATAATTATTATTTATAAATGTAATATAATTGTCTATGTTAAGAATATTTCGGGTTAAATACATAGCCTAAGTTAGCCTATATTATTAGCATATGCCGTGCTGATGCTTTTCACAGATTTTTTTTTTTAATCGAACGCGCACAAATGCCTTTACATTAATGTACTTACAGTGAACATCCAGTAGGATATCATACATCACTATGACAACTAGTATGCGATTTGTTGCGAGGGTATGCGAGTGAGCTCGTGCAAAGGTCTAACAACCTCAATACACAAGGGGGCGAAAGAGGAACATTAGGCTATCTATGCATCAAACCGGATGTGTTTTTATTCAGGTGAGTTCACATATTAATTTTTCTAATCAAGTTATACTATTTTTAAACTGTTTATCTGAAATGATATTAGTTAACATGGAATAGAAAACTGTGCGCTCTGCTTTGTTTTCTCAAATGTGTCTTAATCATAATCATAAATTGTAAATGGATTATAAACGCGATGATTGGACTACATATGATGGTAGTGCGTTATTTATGTTGCGTGTAGGCTATATTAGTTCATCGTACAGTACAGTTCGTCGTGATTAGCTGCACAAACCGGTTTTTCATGAATTTTTGTTATGTCGTACTATGGGACAGCTAGATTTAAAGCTGAAGCATCTGTATGAAAATAATATATAGCAAACGTTAACCTTGTTCATTCTAATTCTATATGATGTATGGCGGACTAATACTAAGCAAAATGTAAATAAACTTTCATTCAATAACTAAAAAATAATTATTATTTATAAATGTAATATAATTGTCTATGTTAAGAATATTTCGGGTTAAATACATAGCCTAAGTTAGCCTATATTATTAGCATATGCCGTGCTGATGCTTTTCACAGATTTTTTTTTTTAATCGAACGCGCACAAATGCCTTTACATTAATGTACTTACAGTGAACATCCAGTAGGATATCATACATCACTATGACAACTAGTATGCGATTTGTTGCGAGGGTATGCGAGTGAGCTCGTGCAAAGGTCTAACAACCTCAATACACAAGGGGGCGAAAGAGGAACATTAGGCTATCTATGCATCAAACCGGATGTGTTTTTATTCAGGTGAGTTCACATATTAATTTTTCTAATCAAGTTATACTATTTTTAAACTGTTTATCTGAAATGATATTAGTTAACATGGAATAGAAAACTGTGCGCTAATTCACGCTACACTGACTCTGTATTGATTTTGGGTTATGAATTAGGCTAAGTAGCATTTCACAACGTTACATCGCGTTTCGCCTTGATGCGTTATTAATAATGGGGGCATTGAATAAATATTAATCATTTCCACTTTGCTGTGGTTGATTTTATCCACAGCACTTTATAAATACCTTGCTTTGGTTAAAAAGGGGAAGTAGGCTATAGCTTGCTGAATGCTTATGCAAAGGAATTTTCAAAGCTTTTGTTGGTTTGTAATGGAATGAGTGGTGAGTTTGAAGTTTGTGATGTTTTGCTGTGGTTTTCTTCATCAGTAGATACTGGGAAAATATTGCAATGTTTTCTTAGGCCTGCACTTCTCTTTTATCTATCTATGATATACTAACAAATGTGTGTTTCTAAAAATAAATCTGCTGATTTAAAGCTCCAATTTTTGTTTATTAAAACAACGCCATGGTCATTGGTTCGATTCCCAGAGAATGCATGAGATGATCAAATGTATACATTGAATGCAACACCAGTCAGTTTAGATAAAAGCATTCGCCAAATGAATAATGCATCATCTATCGTGGTTTATCACATTAATCACAAAATCATTTGAGTACCTGAATTGAACAATTTTCTTTTTAAAGAACTTATTCTTATGTAGAACAATTTAGTATGGTAGTGCAATTATTGTGTAGATGATTTGTTATGTTTTGACCAACTATCCTTACCATCAAGATCAAAATATCACAGACTGTTTATACAACAAAAACTGTGAAAGATAATCTTCGAGCAAATGTAAAGGTATTGTAGCTCAATTGCAAGTTGTTGCATGTCTAGGGCCATATTGCTGTGCATATCTTTTTGTTCCCTGGGAGTCGAACCCATGACCTTGACATTCTAGTGCCATATGCTGCCAGCTGAGCTAAAAACAAATATTGTTAAATAACCTTCATCTAGATTTGTGCTGTTTTGGGTCTTATTGACTTGCATTTTAAAGGAATAAAAGACATTTTTAAATATGAACGTATGTCATACAGGTTTTTAAATGACATAGGAGTGAGAAAGACAAAGATTTTAAATTTTAGGTGAACTTTCCCTTTAACAATGTTTTAACCAGGAATACTACTACAATTTTAGATGTGAAGAATTGAGATAAATGGTGTAGTTGTTGTCCTCAGTGCAAAATCTATTAAGTTTTCTCTTACAGTTTTATCATCAATTAATATAATTGTAATTGTGGTCTATTTTCAACAATGTGGTTAGGATTTTCTATGATGTAAAAGTTTAATTTCTAAGTGGCCAATCTTTGTTGTTAATCAGGATCCTATCAGGAAGGAAGAAAGGAATTTTGAAGCTTGGCAGTTATGAGTGTTTTTCAAGAGCCCTTCCCCCAGCGGGAGCCTTCGAAGTTAGCATAAAAAGACGTAACCGAAGACAAGAGGCCATTCTGTTTGAATGAAAGTCAGTGGAGGAGAGGCCTCAGCACGCTGAACAACCTGCTTTTGTGTGGAAACAGCTAAACACTTAAAGGGATAGAGCCCCAAAACCTAATCTTGTCATTTATTCACCCCTATTTAGCATTAATACACACAAAATGTTACTAAATCTGTTTGTCTTCTTGAAAATAGATAGCAGGGCATTAAATTACAAACCTAAGTATTGGTCTGACTATTGGAAAAACTGCTTCAAAATGTCCTGTAGTGTGACATGCTAAACTCCATTAAAAAAAAGTAAGTAGCCTAATTTAAATAACAGTTTTCAACTTTGTTTTTGCCATAAAGAAGCTGACATGGCTTTAAAATACTACTATTATTAAACGTTTTTTTTGTTTGTTTGTTTTTACTTTATTAGACTATTAATTATTTTCTTTAATTATATATATATATATATAGTATAAGTATTGCATGTGCAGTCTGGAGGATACATTAAATAATTAGTTTTTCAATTTAAATTCACTATGACTAAATGTAATGTAAGAACAAGAAAAAATGTTCCATTTTTTTATATTTTTAAGTACAGCATATCACACAGCAAGACACTTGAAATCACCTGTAAACATGAAAAACACATGCATGTACATTTATTTACAAAATTTACAATTGAAATGTCATGCGAACATGGTAAATGAACTCATTGTTATGCTTTTTATTATAGTCAGTTTGTGTTGTTTGTTGGTACTTTCCATTATGTGCCACTTGCAGAATTTTATCTCTACATTGTAGACCTATCTATTTCATAAGTCTTAAATGTGTCAATTCAGTTGCTGTTTAAGCTTCTCAGTGGGATCATTCATGTAAGTTATTATCCAGACCGCTTCTCAAGGCTTTTGGACGGCATTGTCAACTGTTACTTTTCTCAGCGCTGATATGAAAGAGCTGATCACAGCAATTTCTGATTTACAGATGAGGATGTTAAAGAATAATTTTATAGACGCATGTGCAGGGTCTTTATTGGAGCTTTATTCTTGTAGCTAGTAGATTTAAATAATCATAAGTTTGGATGTTCAAATGTCTTAAATGAGGCCCAACCCCTCCAGAGGTGTGTGTTGCTCAATAGAAATCGTTATACTGAGCCGTAAATCGCCCCCTGGTGGAAGACACCTCCTGTCTTCACCTGTATCGAAAACAATATTTACTGCCCAAAGGGCGTCAAGTCCGCTCTAGGAGCAAGAATGTCAGCGTATCGAGAAAAATAACGTCTCTGTCTGAGAAATTGTTTGACATAAGTGTACAATGTTGACTTTGTCAAGGTAATATATAGCGTATGGTTCAAATACTACCTGCAGTTTGATTCTTTACCAAAAGTTTCTCCGTGAATTCACCATCCACTGTTTTTGTCCTATGCCAGATCTCTAGCTAAACGTATGGCATTATACGAGGAATTTCCTCCGTGGTGTGTAGCACACATACAAAACACTAAACAGCTTCTTTGTATAGAAAAAATATTTCCCTTACCCTTAATTTGTTGACTGCCCGTCACAATGTATGTCGTGTATAATGCATTATCCACCGCTTCGGTCCTCAATAGTTTCTAAACGCGTATAGATCTCTATCAACATTTTTTTATTTAAAAATAAATCCTTTACAGCTGTTTTAATCCGCCTAAATGGCTCAACAAATAACGTAAATATCTTACTATTTAATTAAACGGAAGAAAAAGATCGTCGTCTCTATATGGTCGTTATACTGAGCCGTAAATCGCCCCCTGGTGGAAGACACTATTGTCTTCACCTGTATCGAAAACAATATTTACCGCCCAAAGGGCGTCAAGTCCGCTCTAGGAGCAAGAATGTCAGCGTATCGAGAAAAATAACGTCTCTGTCTGAGAAATGGTTTGACATAAGTGTACAATGTTGACTTTGTCAAGGTAATATATAGCGTATGGTTCAAATACTACCTGCAGTTTGATTCTTTACCAAAAGTTTCTCCGTGAATTCACCATCCACTGTTTTTGTCCGATGACAGATCTCTAGCTAAACGTATGGCATTATACGAGGAATTTCCTCCGTGGTGTGTAGCACACATACAAAACACTAAACAGCTTCTTTGTATAGAAAAAATATTTCCCTTACCCTTAATTTGTTGACTGCCCGTCACAATGTATGTCGTGTATAATGCATTATCCACCGCTTCGGTCCTCAATAGTTTCTAAACGCGTATAGATCTCTATCAACATTTTTTTATTTAAAAATAAATCCTTTACAGCTGTTTTAATCCGCCTAAATGGCTCAACAAATAACGTAAATATCTTACTATTTAATTAAACGGAAGAAAAAGATCGTCGTCTCTATATGGTATAAAGCGCTACTGTATCATCCAGTTTCAATTTTAATATCGCAGCCAGACAATCGCACACCAGTTTCCGCATTCTGCTCGTCCGCTCTCTCGCGAGATTTCATTTAAAACTCAAGGATGAAACTACTTGTTTATTTGGAATGAGACGGGTTTTGTTTTTTTGGATTTGGATCCTGCCTTACACATGCCTTACCAGATTTCTGAAATGGTTTGTAAATATAGTGTATTATATTACTATAAAAACAGTAGTCTGACCATAATTTATTTCCCATATAACACGCAATTTAAGTAAAATACACTCTAAAAAATGCTGGGTTGTTTTAACCCAACTTTGGGTCAAATATGGACTAACCCAACTGTTAAAATTAAATTACATTTTTCAATTACATTTTTAACCCAAAAGTTGGGTTAGTCCATATTTGACCCAAAGTTGGGTTAAAACAACCCAGCATTTTTAGAGTGTACATTAACGTGTAACACGTACTATGATTTTCACTGATACAGAATGTATATTTGTGCATATATGCAAAATATTTAAAATATTGAATGGCTTATTTTTCTCTTTTTTTATATTTAAGGTAGGCTACAGATGCATGTGGATGTACATTAAATTACGTTTTGTTTAAACATATTTAGCATGTGTTGTGTATTCTATATTTTTGTGCATGTTTATATTTACATTTATATATCTTTTTTAGAGCTATCAGTGTATATTTAGTAATATACTAGATTTTTTCTTCTAAATGTGGGGCTTATTTAGAGTTCTGCGTAGAAAAATACTTGTAAACTGTTGCAGATGGCATGAAGCTTATGATCTCAGCTGAAGAATATTATTGTTATACTGGTGTTTTCTTTGTTTCTGGTTGTTCTCCAGGTGTGTTTGGTGTTGAGACAGATCCAGTGGAGATACGTGAATTGATGGAAGGAGATTCTGTCGTTCTAGACACCAAGTGTATTACCAAACTACAGAAAGATGATGAGATAGTGTGGACGTTTGGATCTAATGTCATAGCTACAATCAAGGCCAATAATCCCTTATTATATGACACTGATGATGCAAGATTCAAAGACAAACTACAAATAAACGATCAAACTGGGGACCTCACCATCAGAAACACCAGAACCACACACTCTGGGTTTTATGAAGTGAAAATCACCAATATCACTCACATTTCAATTTCACATTTTAGCCAGAAGGTTTACCTTCACTTGTGCCAATACACTTTATACTGTCTTTTATTACTCTTTCTGTGCTTACTTTCAGGTGAAGATAAAGGAAATGGGGTACAGGATCCATTGAAAGGACAGCAATAGTTCAGTGCTTCTGTAACATAAGCTGTGGATGAAATCAACCTGTGTGCTGCTGAGTTGTGATAGAGAATAGAGAATATGCTTACATATGTTGTACATTCGTTGGAACAGTTTGCACTACATGCTGATCAATGATCCTATTACTTTATGGTGCGGATGATGCAAGATTCAAAGACAAACTACAAATAAACGATCAAACTGGGGACCTCACCATCAGAAACACCAGAACCACACACTCTGGGTTTTATGAAGTGAAAATCACCAATATCACTCACACAACATACAGGAGATTTAGTGTTACTGTCCTTGGTAAGCATTCTTTTATGACAAAGAGGAACATATTTTAATACTTAATTTTTCTAAATGAAATGCAGTGTTTGGGTCATACAGAATGTTTGTTTTAATTTAACATATATGTGTGTATATATAAAATATATACAGTGTATATATATATATATATACAGTGGGTACGGAAAGTACACTTCTTTTTTTGCGTATAATTATAAGATATTGTACCTGTTATTGATACATATATAATCATGGTGGCTGGTGGGACCGTTGACTGCAGCTTTAAAAGTTTTAGATGCAAATTCTTTAGATCACCTGACATCTAAAGGTGTCATTTAAAAAAAGAATAATAAAGTTTTCCTTAGTGATTGATTCATGCTTTAAATGGGATTATAAAAGGAGATTGTGTGATAGATGTTTTCTTCATGTGCAAACGACTTAAGGGATGAGCCTGTTTTGTGGTTAAAATCTGCAAATGCATTTTTTTTCCATACTGTTATGGAAACTTTGTGCCTCTTTTTTTTATTTTTATGTTGGTTCTATCTAGGTTGTAATTGAAAATCTTGATGCCTTTTTGTATATTGGGAAATATCTGGAATAATAAAGAAGGAACATATATGCAGCAACATTAATCACAATTTTTCTCTTTCCGTACCCACTGTATATATGTATATATATATATATATATGTATTTTTTATGGAAAATATTGTCTATATTTGTGCTTTGTCATATTACAGATATTTAATGCCAATGTTGAAATAAATATGTCGATGTATTCGTTTGTAAATAATATTTTATTTGCACTTGTGATTTTTTTTTCTGAATGTGTTTTTTTTATATATATATATATTAGAATTATTGTCAGAACACAATCATTAACATCATTTATTTATGTGCATTATTCTACATGTATTTCAGATGCGATTCCTACAAAAGTTTCAGTAACGACGGGAGAGTCTGCCATTTTACAGCATAATATTGCTGATATACACATTTATGATGTGATAGAGTGGAAGTTCGAAGACGGAGAGACTCCCATAGCTCAAATCAACAAACAAAACAGTAAAAACCCCTCATATAATGAAACTGATGAGAGATTCAGAGACAGACTGCAGCTGGATCAGACCGGATCTCTGACCATCAAAAACACCAGAACCACAGACTCTGGACTTTATAAGCTACAGGTGCAAGGTACAAACATACCGACCAAACACAGGAAGTTTCGTGTTACGGTCGATGGTGAGTAGATCAACGTTCTCAAAGTGTTGTTTGTGCTAGTCATTTTAATGTTTGTAAGTAATAATTTGCATGGAGAAACCCTGAACTGTGTAACTGATTGAAGATTCATATAAACGCTTAAAGATGCTTGTCATTTATGTATTTATTTTAAAACTGACTGTCTCTCTTTGTCCATTACAGAATCTGGGTTGTCCACAGGCATTATAGTGCTGATATGCGTGTGTGTTATTGCACTGATCTTGGTGGTGGTTGGGATTTGCTGTCGGAAACGAAGTCGACAAGGCCAGTATTAACTTTGCATGCATGGCCAGTATTAACCAAAGTAAGCATTTTTAATGCAGAATTTTGAAATGTTATGTTGAACTTAATGATTTGCTGCATTGTTTAATGACATCAGTGATTGTTCAGACAATATTTATAGTATTTCACTAAATGACAGCAGAAGAATACTTCAATGATTTTGAGATCTGGTTTCAATTTCACATTTTAGCCAGAAGGTTTACCTTCACTTTATACTGTCTTTTATTACTCTTTCTGTGCTTACTTTCAGGTGAAGATCTGGAATAATAAAGAAGGAACATATATGCAGCAACATTAATCACAATTTTTCTCTGGAATTTGTATAGCATCCAATTAACATGATTTCAGTGGTGTCAGATATTGAGAAAAAAAAAGTTAATTCATTTACATGATATAGTTTAATGTTTTCTAAAAGTGTAAAAGTCTCAGAACATAAATTTTGAGCCAGTCGCTAGAAGGCGCTGTAAACTAACCTATAACAGAACATGCTGCTGCCTACAGCAGGTGTTTTTCAGCGTTTTCCCCATCAAAAAGCAAACGCACTGGTTTTTCTTTCAGCACAGCCATCGTTATGAAAAAATCATTTATGAATTTCGGAATCGGTCTTCAGTTGGGTTTTTAGCTTGTAATTCTCTGTCAGTTTGGCAGTGGCTAGGAAACCACCCATAATCAAACGGCCAGTCTTATCAGATGTATTTAAATAATCGCCGTAGTAAACTAATATTTTACTAAGATTTTCAGAAATATGAAGAATCTAGTTGTCCTCGTTTTTTTCTTGTTTTTCGCTGACGGTAAGTCGTGGAATTCTGTTCATGTTTGGTCACTTTCGTTTCATTCAATGGAAACAGGAAGTGGGGTGCATTTGTTGACATTTAAAATATTTTTGGAACTATTTTATAGCGGTAGTAAGTCGTGTATACACCTTAAAATAGCTCAAATCAACAAACAAAACAGTAAAAACCCCTCATATAATGAAACTGATGAGAGATTCAGAGACAGACTGCAGCTGGATCAGACCGGATCTCTGACCATCAAAAACACCAGAACCACAGACTCTGGACTTTATAAGCTACAGGTGCAAGGTACAAACATACCGACCAAACACAGGAAGTTTCGTGTTACGGTCGATGGTGAGTAGATCAACGTTCTCAAAGTGTTGTTTGTGCTAGTCATTTTAATGTTTGTAAGTAATAATTTGCATGGAGAAACCCTGAACTGTGTAACTGATTGAAGATTCATATAAACGCTTAAAGATGCTTGTCATTTATGTATTTATTTTAAAACTGACTGTCTCTCTTTGTCCATTACAGAATCTGGGTTGTCCACAGGCATTATAGTGCTGATATGCGTGTGTGTTATTGCACTGATCTTGGTGGTGGTTGGGATTTGCTGTCGGAAACGAAGTCGACAAGGCCAGTATTAACTTTGCATGCATGGCCAGTATTAACCAAAGTAAGCATTTTTAATGCAGAATTTTGAAATGTTATGTTGAACTTAATGATTTGCTGCATTGTTTAATGACATCAGTGATTGTTCAGACAATATTTATAGTATTTCACTAAATGACAGCAGAAGAATACTTCAATGATTTTGAGATCTGGGTTCAATTTCACATTTTAGCCAGAAGGTTTACCTTCACTTTATACTGTCTTTTATTACTCTTTCTGTGCTTACTTTCAGGTGAAGATAAAGGAAATGGGGTACAGGATCCATTGAAAGGACAGCAATAGTTCAGTGCTTCTGTAACATAAGCTGGGGATGAAATCAACCTGTGTGCTGCCGAGTTGTGATAGAGAATAGAGAATATGCTTACATATGTTGTACATTCGTTGGAACAGTTTGCACTACATGCTGATCAATGATCCTATTACTTTATGGTGCACTTCTTTTTTTGCGTATAATTATAAGATATCGTACCTGTTATTGATACATATATAATCATGGTGACTGGTGGGACCATTGACTGCAGCTTTAAAAGTTTTAGGTGCAAATTCTTTAGATCACCTGACATCTGCAGGTGTCATTTAAAAAAAAAAATAATAATAAAGTTTTCCTTAGTGATTGATTCATGCTTTAAAGGGGATTATAAAAGGAGATTGTGTGATAGATGTTTTCTTCATGTGCAAACGACTTAAGGGATGAGCCTGTTTTGTGGTTAAAATCTGCAAATGCATTTTTTTTTCCATAGTGTTATGGAAACTTTGTGCCTCTTTTTTTATGTTTTTAAGATCTACATTTTACTGTTACTCTGATACTGTGTTTACATGGGGACAGATTATGATCAACTCTTGTGAACAGTGATTTGGGTGTTGAATGTTTCCTGTTATGTAGGCCCACATATTTCTTTTTTAATTATTATTATTGTGAAATTCAAGCTTTTTTTTAATCATTGAGATTCATAAGTAATATGAATTCCAAAGTAATTGCACTTATTGTAATAATTCATTGAATTACCCCCCCCCCCTTTTTATGTTGTTCGGCTGCTAGGTTGTAATTGAAAATCTTGATGCCTTTAAAATCCCCTTTAAATGTATTGTTTAAATGTATTGTATCTATATAAATTAATTTGGTGTAGTTGTGGTGCAAATAATCATCTGTGAAACTCTTCCAGGTGTGTTTGATCCAGATGCAGATAAATTAAAGCCTGTGTCAGCAAAGGAGGGAGAATCTGTCACTCTAAATACTGATTTTAAAGTACAGAAAGATGATCTGATGCTGTGGAAGTTTGGACGAGCCACAGTCGGATGCAAATATAATCCACTTCATCATGTCCCGTGTCAAAGTGATGTGACTGCCATCGCTAAAATTGATGGAGAAACCCTTGAGGTCTCATCAGATACTGGTTACAGTGAGATGTTTAATAATAGACTGAAAATGGACAAACTGACCGGATCTCTTACCATCACAAACATCAGACCTGAACACTCTGGGTTTTATATACTACAGATTAGTAACAACACTGGGACCAAATACAGGAGATTCAACGTTACTGTTAGTGGTGAGTATCACAGGCAATTTTAAACTGCACTTTGATTTTAGTTATATATTAGAATGTTTTTTAATTATTATTTTACTATATAGTGTAAATGTATTTAAATGAGATGCAGTTAGCCTAAGATTCTCATTTTATTTGTGCCAATATGTGAGGTAGTTTCCCAACACTGTGCTAATTTCCGATCATTTTTTATTAAGTTATATATTAGAATGTTTTTTGGAATTATTTTACTATACAGTGTAAATGTATTTAAATGAGATGCAGTTAGCCTAAGATTCTCATTTTATTTGTGTCAATATGTGAGGTAGTTTCCCAACACTGTGCTAATTTCCGATCATTTTTTGTTTAGCCATTACGAAATCCCACTCGCATGTAGTTTGGATGTCAATCGCTATAGTGCTTTTGTCGATGGTGGCGGTTTGGTGTTTGGCTACGGGCTTTAAAAACTGCCGCAACAGGAACTGTGAGTAACAGAAATGCAAATCTTTTCAACAAATTTTATTAGGTGTTTCTTTAGGTGTAATTATTATAATAATAGGTTATTACAAAAGAATCTCATTGTAAAAAATACTCAAGTGATGGAAAATAGATACCACTGAGATGCATTTAAGAGGGGTTATGTGGTTTTACCTTCATTCCTATAAGATTCTCATTTTATTTGTGTCAATATGTGAGGTAGTTTCCCAACACTGTGCTAATTTCCGATCATTTTTTTAGCCGTCACGAAATCCCACTCGCATGTAGTTTGGATGTCAATCGCTATAGTGCTTTTGTTGATGGTGGCGGTTTGGTGTTTGGCTACGGGCTTTAAAAACTGGCGCAACAGGAACTGTAAGTAACAGAAATGCAAATCTTTTCAACAAATTTTATTAGGTGTTTCTTTAGGTGTAATTATTATAATAATAGGTTATTACAAAAGAATCTCATTGTAAAAAATACTCAAGTGATGGAAAATAGATACCACTGAGATGCATTTAAGAGGGGTTATGTGGTTTTACCTTCATTCCTAGTTTTGTTCGGGAAACTGAGGTCATATAACTGCTGTCAATTTACGGGGGCGCAGGAACCGGGTGAGTGTTTCCTTCAGATAATACTCAGCTTCCTGTGCTTGAGTGTGAACATAATTAATCTATAATAGTGTAAATTGACTTTTCTTTATTTCTTATTGACAATGTTGTTTATTTGAATTCTGGCTTTGTTTGACCAATGTTTGTTGATAAAACAGAATCAATGCCAAAATCAGTGATAGAGGGAGAGCCTGTCACTCTCAACACTGATCGTACTGAACTACAGAGAGATGATGTGATAGAGTGGAAGTTTGGAGGCAGCGTCATAGCAAAAATCAGCAGAGCAGCCAATAAGATCTGTCAGAAGACTTATGATGGTGCTGATGAGAGGTTCAGAAACAGACTGGAGCTGGACTGTAAGACTGGATCTCTAACTATCACAAACACCAGAACCACAGATTCTGGAGATTATCAACTACAGATTGCCACCAATGGAAAAGTGGAACTATACCGAAAATTCAATGTTTCTGTCTTAGGTGAGTAGCTCAGATTGGCTTGTATATATCTCATCATTAAGATGCACTTTATGAATGCTTTTTGTGTAGTAGGACAACAACATTATCTCTTCACATCTTCGGTGCTTATTCTGTGCTTTCTTATAGATTCCAGTCAAAACATACCTAAAGAGTCAGTTGAGTCTCCTTTGATGAGTGAAGAGAGATGCAGCAGCTCCAATATGGAGTTGGAGTTGGTATAATGCTATTAACATTGAAGAGAAATGTGTCATATATGCATATATGTTATTTGCCTCTAAAAAGTTCTACACCCATGAATGACCAAGAACTCACCATATCAGAAATGTTATGTATTCACATTATTTGTGCATCACAACTGTTTCTCTGACTGATGTGCTTATTTCTGAGAATATTCACTATATGAAGTGCAGCTAATGTATGTGAATGTTGTGTTTTTGTACATATCCTTGAGCCTGTGATGTGTTTACCGACATGCTTTTGCTGAAATAATATTTATTTACTTATGTCTAGCACTGTAATTTTCAAATTGATATACCTTTTTCTGTGAGCGTGTAAATGACTTAATCATATCTATAATGCACTTTGATTGACTGTTTAACCAAATAATAATAGAAGACACTACAGCTTTAGCACTGCTATTATGAAACACTGGAAATACAGCATTGTTGCTTTATTTTTTGAACATTTGCTGCTCAGTGAATAAAATGTGGGAGAAAATGGCCTCAATTTTAAATTTCCATTTGTGATTTGGTACATTGAGTCATATTTTTTGTTGAATATATTTATTATTATTATTATTTTTTACAAGTGTTATGTAGCCTAATAACTCTAAAAAACAGAAATTCAATCTTGACAATATTTTGTGTTTTCTATCAGTTTGTCATGTGATCAGATTTGACTATGAAATCTTAAATGTGACATGAATTTAAATGTACTTTTGAAACTGATTCGCTGCTGGTCTATATGCTTTCACTCTAAAAAAAAATGCTGGTTTAAATATAACCCAGCGCTGGGAGCTATTGTGTTGTTTTGACCCAGCGGTTGGGTTGTTTTGATTTGATTGGG